GTCAGGCACTCTCATTTCTTTAAGAACTTGCCATAGTTTGCTGTGGTCCACAAAGTCAAAGGCTTTTGCATAGTCAGTGAAGCAGAAGTAGATTTTTAAAAAAAATTCTCTGGTCTTCTCCATAATCCAGTGCATGTTAGCAATTGGGTCTGTAGTTTGTCTGCCCCTTAAAAATGCAGCTTGAACTTCTGGGAGTTCTCAGTCCACATACTGCTGAAGCTTACCTCGAAGGATTTTGAGCATAATCTTGCTAGCGTGTGAGATGAGTGCAATTGTACAGTAGTTGGAGCATTCTTTGGCACTGCCCTTCTTTAGGGTTGGGATGTAGACTGATTTTTTCCAAGTGAGAGCTGGACCACTGCGGAGTTTTCTAAACTTGCTGGCATATTGAGTGTATCACCTTAACAACATCATATTTTAAGATTTTAAATAGTTCAACTAGTATGCCATTACCTCCACTGGCCTTGTTGTTAACCGTACTTTCTAAGGCCCACTTGACTTCACTCTCCAGCATGTTTGGCTCAAGGTCAGCAACCACACTATCTGGGTTATCTGGGACACCCAAATCTTTCTGGTATACAGTAATTATGTGTATTATTGCCACCTCTTCTTGATGTCTTCTGCTTCTGTTATGTCCCTACCATTTTTGTCCTTTATCATGTCCATCTCTGTACAAAATGTTCCTTTAATATCTCCAATTTTCTTGAACAGATCTCTGGTTTTCTCCTTTCTATTATTTTCCTCTATTTCTTTGCACTGTTCATTTAAGAAGGCCCTCTTAGCTATGGCTGAAGTCAAATACATGCGCATTCACCATCTTTGAGGGTTAGGGGACTATACTCAGGGGAGAGGCTTGTGGTGCTAAGGACTGATGGGGAAAGGGAAGACTGGAGACTGACAGAAGATGCCCCCCATGTTTTCCACCATTTTCACCTTCTCTTGTACCACAGCCACTTCACCCAGTGTGCAGCATCCATCTGTCTAAAATGAGCATTTTCAGGAGATTGTAGAAGATGGCAAAATGAGGAAGAGTAGGAAAATCAGTTTCTGCCCTCCTGTTCAGCAGGCAAACACAGGAAATCTGCGATCAAGTCCCTGCTCAGCCATGAAAACTGTTCCTTGAACATATCAAAAACCTTAAAATGCCTATCATGGTTGCTATAGGCCAGAAGAGACCCCCCCCTTCCTCTGTGTGCTTCCTCTGTGTGTGTGTGCTTTGCTTCTTGAAAGGAAAGGACCTTAGAAATATGTTGTACATTTACCTCTGTATTTTGCAATGTGTGGAGGGGAAGGGTTTTTTCTTTCACTCTTGGCTGGTGGTGAGGCATCTTGCAGTGTTGACAGTCCTTGATGATGTCTGAAAAATCCTTGTTGAGATATTGTGTCAGGCCAACACAACCAAAATCAGTAGAGACAAGGAATGTAGCTTTTTTTTCCTGGTGTATATACACACAAAACTGTATACTATACTAGCTCAGCAGAGAGAAGAATGGGCTTACATCTTTCCAATTTATATTCCAGAGTCTTACTTGAAGAGAGTTTAAAACACAATGACAGGGAAGTGTTAAAATGGTGAGCCCCAAGAAAGTGCATATCAGCTTTAAAGAAAAAGATAGAAGGAGTGAGAGTAGCAATTTTGTGTTTAAGCTGCCTACACAGCTGAGAGATTATACAGTAAAGGTCACCCAATATCACCTTTATGGAAGCTGTTGACTGGCCTGATGGGTCAACATAGCTTGAATGGCAATGCTGTCATCTGAGATATCTAGGTTTTATCTCACAAGCCAGTTTCTTTAACCTTTATAGCAATCCACTTCTTTGCAAGGAAAATAATACCTTGTGCTGACATTTTAGTCCAATCCAATGTCAGTTATAAGCATCTGGCATGTCTTACAGTCGAAAAAACTGTTTATATATAAATTCTTGTGAGTTAGCAGCAATTATTAGAGTTATAACTGAATGTTTTAAAAATTAAAATATTAACTTCTAATTACCATGAATGCTTGCCACAAAATTATCACTTCTTGATGTTTTGGTGGGTTGGTCTATGTACTAGTGACTTTCTGTGAAAGGGTTAAATATTACAGTGCCTCATGAACGACGGAAGGAGTAAGTAAGATATGTTCTAAAAGCACACTAGGGAGTTTCCACCCTTGTAAGCTCAGGGCCAAAACTAAATAGAATAAACTCTAAGCAATATTTAAAGTTACAGCAGCAAAATAAAACTGAATCCCTAGGAGATAAATTCATGCTGTAGAATCATTTTAACTGAAGGCTATTTACCACATTTTTTTAAAAAAAATGCTTTCTGTGGAGGATCAAAAGAGAATATTAGCAACCAGTGCTCAGACTTACCTACCATTGTTGTGTCTGAAAGAAAACCTGTGGTGAAATGTTTTAAATTCAGTATTCTGGTGTTGTTAAATCTGTCAGTTCACCTCTTAATGAAATGTTTACTCTTGTTCATTTTGAATTCTGGATGTATAAAAGATCCAGACAGCAAGCAAGGAACTTCCTTGAATTAATGGAGTAGTGCACAAAATGGGGTAGATATAAATAAGGATATACAAATTTATTCTGTATTCTATAATTAGCCACTATATGTCATATCATTGGCTTTTTAAAGGAAATAACAAAGTTTCTGAGAACACCAATGGTTATTGTGAAATTACTTGCAGTTTTAGTTAATGATCACAGAATCACTGGACCTAAGGTAGTTGAATTGAAGTATTTGAAACCAACAGGATATGTTAATAATGATTTCTATCCAATTGATTTCGATGGAAGATGATCAAGGGTGTAATTCAGGTCAGTTTAATTGATGCTAGGCCAGCTGAGGCTGTGCTGAATCCAAAAACCTCCCAAGTCCATGAACAGAAAATAGCATAACAGTTGAGGACAGGACATATTAGAGATATTCATACAGTATATCATAGAAGTGAGTATATCATAGAAGTGATGGACTGACCAAGCATGTCTGCAGACCCAAACCCTATTGAGCATCTGTGGGGCATCGTGAAATGGAAGTTGGAGGTGCACAAGGTCTCTAACATCCACCAGCTCTGTGATGTTGTCATGGGGGAGTGGAAGCGGACTCCATTGGCAACCAGTGAAGCTCTGGTGAACTCTATGCCCAAGAGGGTTAAGGCAGTGCTCGAAAATAATGGTGACCACACAAAATATTGGGACTTTGTGCCCAATTTGGACATTGTCACTTAGGGGCGTACTCACTTTTGTTTCCAGCGGTTTAGCCATGAATGGCTGTGTGTTGCGTTATTTTGAGGGGACAGCACATTTACGAAGGAAAGAGTAAGTAATATTCCTTGTAAGGGGTATACAAGCTGTATACACACTGCTTCACATTGTAGCCAAGTGTCATTTCTTCACTGCTGTCACATGAAAAAATATACTAAAATATTTATGAAATGTGAGGGGGTGTACTCACTGCTGTGATATACTGTAGGGTTGCTGTAAGTCTCGGGTGACTTGACAGCACATAATAACAACAACTATGTCTCAGGGCTGGAGGAGGTTTGGGCATGGTATTCCTCAACTCTTCTGTGACCTTGTTCTTTTTGACTCTCTTTTAAATGCATTTTCTGTTTAATCTTAACCACAGCACTTGTGCTAGCAGAATGGCTCTCAGAGATTCTTCAGCTGGCAAATCTCGTGAGAGCTAGCACAAGGGAAGTTGTGATGGCCCAAGAGCCTTCTGTGCTTTCCAGCTCTCAGTAGCCAGCATATCTTTCAGTTAGAATTGTACTGCAATTCTGTCTTCAATCCAACATTTTCATTAACAGTTACAGTTACTTTCAGAGGAAGCATAACCATTTGCTAACATAAATATTTATAGGTATATTGTTAAGTAGAACTGGATATCAGAAATTGACGTTGTGAACTGTCCTTCATGTGGCCAGTACCCATTGCATGCCTTCAAGAACAAATATGCTTATATAATAGTACTATCTTCCGATCTCAAGCAGTTGGGTTTGTACAGCGGTCTGTGAATTAATACATCAGAGCAGATTAAGTGAAGCCTACAAGCAGGTCCAGATCCTCATTAAGTCTATAGAACTCTGACCAAATGAAGGATGCTCTGAGTTGCATAACTTCAAGTCAAATTGATAATTGTTTCCTGTTAAATCTTTTGCAGTGAGCTTATCTTGTCCAGCATCGATACTGATGCAACAGGAATGTGGGAGTGTATGGTCAGCAACTCCTATGGGAACATATCTAAGCAGGTAGAAATTGTTGTACTGGAAACAGCTGCGCCTTATTGTCCTGCTGAAAGAATAATTAACAATAAAGGAGATTTCAGGTATGTTTTTCTTCTTTTGAAAACATATAAATAATCAGACAGAAATTAGCATTATCTTTCTTGCACAGTAAGCTTGTCTTATGCTTCCAGCATGTACTGGAAGCTTTCCTTTTGATCAAACAAGTTTCTTTCACATAGGCTAGTGATAGATGACAGAGAACTAGGCTCCCAAGTTGCTAGATTCTGTTGCGTTTGGACATTTCTGTGCCCTTTGGCCCCTGCAGAGTCACAGAGAACTAATGAACAATTCTCTCTGTACACATCGCTGAGAGTCAAGATCGAAGAGCAGGTAATAAATGTTTTAAGCATTTATTTAGCATTTCCAATGACTAAAATTGAAGATTCCTATGATTTATAGCAACGGGGACCAAATGCATGACTAAGTGTATATGTTTAGGAGAAGACCAAAGACCAATTATTACTCCAAAATTGAGCAAACTGACTAAATCAGTCTGCTGATAAATCAGTCTGCAACTTTCAGGAATTGATTCAGTGGGTATGCTCTAGTTGAGAACAGCAGATTGTTTGACTGAAAGTTTTATGTTAGCCCTTATAAGAAGCTTTGCCAAATAAATAATATTCGAGGGAGTTAGCACTGCAATTAGCATACGATAAGTATGAATTAGTATGTTTTCCTAGAGAAGTGAAATACATGATATTGAAAGGGAAAGGTTCCCTTGACATTTAGTCCAGTTGTGTCCAACTCTAGGGCGTGGTGCTCATCCCCATCTCCAAGCCGTAGAGCCAGCGTTTGTCCTTCTTTTTATTTTATCTTTTGATAGTATAATCAGCCCCCAGTAGTTTTATGTGTGGAGTTTTAACCTGCATAGTTTTCATATTAAAATTTTTGTTTTATTGTTTCACTGTAATTGCCAGTATGGTAAATCTTGACGGAGTGCTCACTGAAAGTGGCACACAACTTTCTGAAAGTAAAAAAATAATATAAAATAAATATCCTTGCTTTTCTTTGAACAGTTCAAAAGGATATACTGTAATCCCTGCAGTAGACATGCTGCATTTCAACTCATAACAGAAAAGCTCAACTTGAGGTCCTCTGTAATGAGTCACTTTTAAAATATATTAGATAAACTTGTACTGACTGCTACATAATGCACCTTTCATTAAGAAACCCTTCACTCCTTTGCCAGTAAATGTCATCCTCTTCTTTATAAATAAAAAATATATAAGTGCTCAACTAGCGCCAAAGGCGTTTTTCCATTTCATTTTCTATAAATCAAAAAAGCCAAAGAATTCACATTTCTTGGCCTTATTGATCATCTTTCAGAAAGTCCGCAGAAATTTATTTTAGAAACGTACATCAAAAGCATGCTGAGTCCATACATTCTTTTGGCATTTCAAAGTAATGAATTCACAATTCAGGAGAACGTCTTTGGAACTAAAGTTAACATTAACACCTGAAGATTCCTTGAAAGGTTTCTCCTCTCGGATGCTGCTTGTATGACAATAATTTATGATGAAAAGGTCTTTGAGGTGCTGATATTATAGCAAATATGTAGGAAGCAAGACATCATGACTACAGAAGCAGAACTTTTAAAAGGACTTTTCGTTTTAAAAGGAAAGAGAAGCATTAAACGTAATGGAAAGGTTGAGTCTTTTGAGCTGACAGCCCAGGTGGTATTTGTAATGGAAAACTTGCTGTAAAGATTTGTAATGCAAGCCTCGGTGAACAAAAGCTGTTATGAGATGATGGTTACGTTTGTTTTGTTTTTCTCTCATTAAATTTTGTCTGTAAAGGGGAAAAGAGATTGTGTCTCAGGATTTCCAAATATTAAACACTGAGATTTTAGAACTGTAAAACCCTAGTGCATCTACTGTTGAAAAACCGTCTCCCAGACAAAGCACCCTGTAGAACAAACTACTAAGAAGAATAGCTACAGCTAAATAAATACCAGTGCAATCAGTAGTTCACCAGAAGTGACATACCATCCAGAAGCAAGATAAAATGCTCTGCAGTTTCTCCTAGGTGTTCATTATTTATAAAATTCTGACCCTGCTCCATTTTGAACTCTTTCTTTTCTCTCTGAAGTAAATTATATCAGTGACTAGCAAGATGGGGAAAATGAAGACCATTTTTTTCCTGTTGTAGTTTTGTGCAGAACAAAAAAAGTTACAGCTTATTTAGACTGTGTGAATGTCTAATACATCAACACCTTTTGCAAAACAAGATGTCAAATACTTTGTTTTAATACCAAATTAAAGTAATTGCCAGTGTCTTCCATTTTGCTGTTATTATATAGGAATGTTCTGTTTTCTTGTTCTGCTGATACAGACACTATACTCAGTTGTTAGGTGTGGAGCTCACACATATTGAGGGGAGCATACTAGCCTCAGACCCTTCATTGTCACTTTCAGCACTTAAAAGCAACAGTGTGAGGCTCTTCACATAAGCCAGAACTTGAAAAAAAGACCTGTGTACAGCAATCTGTCCCTCTTTGATCTGATATTTTCTCATACTAAAAGAAATGAAAGAAGGGTTGGGGGGTAATGCACTGATCTCAAAGCGTGTGGACTGTACATGCTTAGATAACAACTGAACAGAGCAAAACAGATTCTGGATTGCAAATCTGTTAGATGTCACAGGACCTAGTGTTAAAGACACTGTTAAGCCACTTCAGAATACAGCTGAGAATTATAGGATGGAATGGTCCTTTATTTAAAAATAAACTATCTAGATGCAAAAATATAATGTTAGTAAGTGAAAAGAAAGAGTTTTAATCTATCTTGCTTTCTGGCAGCTAAAATTTTCAGCACTGTCATAATTTTTCTCTCAAGGTAAAACTGATAACCAGAGATGACAAAATATCTATCTAATCTATCTATCTTATCTATCTATCTATCTCTCTATCTATCTATCTATCTCTCTATCTATCTATCTATCTCTCTATCTATCTATCTATCTCTCTATCTATCTATCTATCTCTCTATCTATCTATCTATCTCTCTATCTATCTATCTATCTCTCTATCTATCTATCTATCTCTCTATCTATCTATCTATCTCTCTATCTATCTATCTATCTATCTATCTATCTATCTGTCTGTCTGTCTGTCTTTCTTTCTTTCTTTCTCCCACCTTTCTCCCTTATAGGACTCAAGGCTCTTTACAATTTAAATTTAGGCCTCCTCCAAATTACAAAATGAAAACACTATTAATAAACTTTCAGATTAAAACTAATATGATTTAAGCCCCATTTAAAAACACAACAGAAAGAAAGAAACACTAACATTGGTCAATCTGTGGCCAAAATCTATATAACAGCATAAGGATGGGAGGAAGGGGACTCTGTAGTATACATTTTTCCTCTCACCTTGCATGGTACTTTACTATCACAAGCAAAGCATTAATGTTAATGATACTATGACTGCTACCACTGCCAGTGACAGACCTATATTTGGGGTGGGGTGGGGCCCTTTGCAACGAGAAACAAGGTCTGGGTAACTACTGTTCTTGCTTTCTTTTTTTTAATGAACTAAAGTTCCTTCTGGGACCCATTCAGGATTAAGGGCTCTGAAGCCTGAGCTTCATTAGTTCCATAGTAGATCAGCCCCTGACCATTGCTACTGATAATGAGAATGATATACCTAGAAATTACGAAAAAATTTGACACTGCAGGCTCTGCCTGTATGCTAACAATCTAATAGACATGATTAGAAAAGGATGAGGAAGAGAAAGGGAGGAGGAAAAAAAATTGATTTCATTGATTGTTAAATAAGATTGCAAATATTATTGAGACTAAGTGTGTATCCTTTGGCTTCAGATATTATTTGAAACCTAAATTGAAGCTTTGGCATTTGTTGGTTTCTCTTTAGAAACAAAGACCTCAAAGCAGTGCTCAGACTGAATAGGGTACCTCTGAAGCACTGAATATTGCTTCAGTGCTTTGGTGGTAAGAAGAAGAAGCTGGAATACTTGAGAAAAGAATATTTGGGCCCACCAAGTCCCACTCAGAAAATGAAAGGAACAGAGTGTAACAGAATAAGGAAGCCCGAAGCAGAAGGAGATGGACAACACAAGTGCCAATCAAAAGCCCCAGTGATCAAGGGTTCAGTGTCAGCTGTGTATCAGTGCCCAGCTGGCACAGATGCATAATGAGAAGAGTTGGCCTCTCAGTAGATTTCTTTTTCGTGGACTCAAAGGGGAGTATTGCCTTGGCAACAATACCTAGCTTATATGACTGGGTCTGAAATGCTGGGAATAGGAGCAGCTTTTGTTTTAGAAGATCCAGAGTTGGGCAACTGTGTCCAGCTAAACACAAGTTGCATTCCTGGAGGGTCAGAGCTGGGCAAGGAGTACATTACAGGGTTCCTGGTGGTGTGGGGAGAAGGAAAGAGGAAAGGAAAGAAGGGAGGGAGCAGGTTGAGCAGTAATAATATCAATGAATTTCATCTACCCATTCCACATTATGAGCAGGAACTGCCAGGGCAGTGGAACAGGTTGTGCTATCTCTAATGCCGTTAGACAGAGGGATTTCATTGCTGAATCTACCCAAAACTTATAAAGCTTGCTATTGTAATTATAACATTTGTTGTACTGAAGTCTAGGATACTGAATTCCAAACTAGCTGTCTGTTTGATGTTTCTTTGACTATTTATTGGTGATGTATTTGATACATAGAGTACAGTGGGGTCTTGACTTGAGAACTTAATCCGTATTGGAAGGCGGATCTCAAGGCAAAAAGTTCTCAAGTCAAATCTGCATTTCCCATACGAATGCATTGAAAACCATTTAATCCGTATCTGCTCTTTTCCGTCCATAGAAACTAATGGGAAGCTGCTATTCCGCCTTTGACCACTAGAGGGGGATATTTTGTTTCTTTTTTTCTTAGGTCAAGAAAGGTTAAGCGAAGGCAGGGAAAATACAGTCCAGGCAAGTACAGTACCAGGCAGCCTGAAGACTGTCTCCCAATCCACTCTCTAAACGCTGGGAGGAGTGAGGAAGCAGACAGGCACCCTTTTCACTGGCCAACAATTAACTGAAAGGTCACTTTTTGCACTTTCCCTGCCTCCCACATGGTTTTTTTTCAGTTCTTAACTCAAATCTAAGTACTTAAGTCAAGTCAATATTTTCCTATGAGAGCGGTTCTTAAGTCAAAATGTTCTTAACTCAAGCCCTTCTTAAGTCAAGACCCCACTGTACTAGAGAATAACATGCAATATGAAACAGACAAAGAGAAGTGCCATAGTTTCCAGTTTAAGGGAGTCACTTGATGTGCAGAGAGCAATACCCATTTACTTGGGAGTACCTCCAAGTTCAATGGCTCGTATTTCCTATAAAGTTCTTATAGGAGTCCAACCTTGCTTTTAGAGCAGTGGTTCCCAACCTTAGATAACTGAGTTGTTCTTGGACTGCAACTCCCAGAAATCCTGGGTAACACAGCTAGTGGTGAAGGCTTCTGGGAGTTGCAGTCCTAGAGCACCTGGGTTGCCCCAGCTTGGGAACCACTGTTTGAGAGGGTTTAACATCATGTCGACACTGCTTGTTTTTATTTTCTTTTTAGATGGCCAAAAACTCTGGCTGGTATAACTGCTTACCATCCATGTCTTCGGTATACACTAAATTCAGCTTCCCTTCTGAATGAAGCAGAAGAATCAAAAGCATGGCGTAAGTGTAACCGCACAGGTCAATGGGCTGAAGAAAGTTATTCTGCGTGTCCTTACTCACAAGAAGCAACACAAGTCCTTCATGCCTTTAGTCAGGTAAAATGTCACTTTGCTAATACAGTATACATAGATTGTACTATATATGCTATATATACAGTATCTCTTATCAGCATATTGCACAGAAACCAAAGTATATCTTTTTGTTATCTAAGGCATGTAACAAGGACAGGATCTATAATACTGGAGTGTACAACCTTTACAAGTATTCTAGGTCTGAGCAAGAAAATTCCTTACGATACAGATTCTCAGATATCATTCTCATTGTGTAGCCTGCATAATTAACTTGTAAACTGCCCAGAGAGTGCTTGAAGCGCTATGGGGCGGTATATAAGCAGCACACTTTGCTTTTTTTTTTGATTGCATTGTACTTTGCACAGTTATTAAGCCCCTGAATCAGGATGGGAACTGATGCTACTAAAATTGTGAAAGGGAAGGTTGATGTCTACAAGGTATAAAGTGTATATAAACTTGTTTGGTGGCTCAGCAAGTTCAACAGTAAGTATTTTAGACTGTAAAGGTCTAGGTTGAGAATGAACTTTATATTCAGTGACAGTCCTCATCTGCAAGGAGGCAACTGGGGTTAAACCTTTTAGCTGACTTAGAGATCCAACTGTCCATTTGTAATTTTGTTTCAGATGCATCTTAATGCCACCAATGCACTTGAATTTTCTCATCAGCTTGCAACCTATACAAGGGATGCTGCTGGCTTTGCAGATAAGATGGATATTATCTATTTGGCATACATGCTGGAAAAGCTGATGGTGTACTTGGATGAAACAAAAGATGTAAGATACTGCTTGGTTAATGAATATGTGATTGTTTAATGTTGAAACAGCAAGGTGTACAACAAAGATAGAAGCCTGTTATATGTTATCTAGTGTCAAATATTTAAAATGCATTTCTGTCTTTTACAAGAGTGTAGGGTTTCAACCAGATACTTTTAGTGTACACCTTATTTTTCTTTTGAATTACCGGTATATACTATTCTGAAATTAACTCCTGGAGACTTTTCTACAAAGGTAGACATTTGAATTAAAGTCATTTATTCTGATTATGTTAATTTGAAAGTTGTGTTGTTGGTCATTGTTTCAGGGTATTTCTGAAGAGCTTGCATCTATCTATGTGCATATTAGTTTTTAAACAGAAATTCTTATCCAAAGACTTATGCAATCCTGAGACTATGAGAAATTGTTTATGTTAATGACAACTATGTACGTGTAAAAAAAAAGTCTTTCAATTCTTGAAGGAATTTGTTGCATATAGATATTTTGGAATTCACTGTAATTACAATTACCATATTTGACTTGCTTTGATGTTAAGCGTCGAAGGATATTTGGCTTCCAAGTTTACAATGTTAACATTTTAGTGCTACTGATTGATATGCAACATCATAAACTCAAACTGAAGTACATACAAAATGTCTTTTGAAATGTGTATTAATAGAGAAATGACTACACATAATCATGAGATGGCCAGATTATGGGAAATGGCTGTTCTGACATTAATGTCTGCCAATACCTGCCAAATGCCGTTTTGGTCTAGTTACAAGTATCCTTTATGACTTGACTTGCATCGTCCCTCTCTCTAAATGTTTTCTGAATGCTCCTCAGCAGCAACGTTCCATTCTTTTACTTTAATCCTTTAGCTTTTGTTGAGTGGCTAATGGGTTCCTGACTCTCAGTCCCATTTTTTTTTCTATGTGTGACTTTATCGATTGTTGCTTGGCTAGAAAGCCAATTGTTGCACATTCACCCACTCACCCATGCCCCATAGTACTCCATCTGCCTTCTTCGTTCACCCTAATGAACCCCCCATTCTTTTTTTCTTCCTCCCTAGTCACATAGCTCAGTTCTCATCCTATGTTTAAAAACCATGAGGCCCACCTTTCCCTCTTCTTTCCAAGCGCTGTATTTTTTCCACGTATTCTTTTTTCACGTACCTAGTGAAGAAGTGAAAAAGACACCTAGTGTACACTCAGTCCATTCCAAATAGGCCAACTAGCTGAACTATAAAAATTCCACAGAACTATAAATATTCCACAGAAAGCAGATTGTTCTGGGTCACAAAGCAAGCCTAGGCAAAGTTCAAATGAATACATAATAGTAAATTAAATGTCATGTCCCTCCATGTTCTATTGGTAAACTCTGTCCTAGAAGTTGATGGCCACATTGCAGAATTATTTCTGAAAGTTTCTGCACCATTCTTTGATGGGTGCCTCTCTTATGGTGAAATTGAGGCAACTGCCAAGGCAAAGACTCCTGGCTATCACCATCACCACAATGTTGTAAAGTAAGAAGACATGGTACAGGAAATACACAATGGAAGTCAAGTTACCAATGCAAAATATGTTGTTGCCATTAGCATTGCAAATCCCCCAAAAATTCAAATGGTGAGCCCTACCTTTGAGGAATTGTTGCAGATGTTCTCATTCTCCTGGAAAAGTTTGATAAAATGCAGGCTTTCCCCCCACAAATAGGGCAGATAATTTTAATACTATTTGTGCACAAGTATATAGCTGGTGGGACAGCTCAGTGAGTTAGGTATCTCTCTGTAAAGCCAGAGGTTGGGAGTTCAATTGCCCACTGTGCATCCCAGAAGAGCTAGCCTATGTGGCCTTGGGCAAGCTGCAGAGTTCCAGGATGCCCCCAGAAGAAGGAAATTGTAGAACATTTCTTTCTCTCACCTTAAGTCACAATTGACTTGATATAATTGTTCAGCTTTTAATCTCTAGTAAATGCAGCTCATAGCTTGGTATGCCATGTTTGCTGGGGGATCATGGGAGTTATCATCTAAGACCCTACCTCTTTGAAGCTCTGAGCATGGTGTCCAAAATGGGTCATTAAGATTTCTACATGGCTGAAATTCACAAAACCGATACGAGTTGCTGTGAGTGCCTGCATTTATCACCTCTGTGCCAGACATACTAGGTGGATTGGTTGTGGCCCATCAGCTGTGTAGGGGTGATAAAGAACTCTTGCTCTAAAACTAGCCACAGTAATCCGATCCTGTCATAATGAGTATCTCATATACATACTTCCTGTTTTTCCATTAAGGGTTGTGCCTGGGGAAATTGATGCCTGCAGGTGGGCAAGATATGTGGACTCAATCCAACAGAATTTAAGCTGATTAACTTTGGTTTCCTATGATCATTGTTTTACATATTGTCAAGGCTGGGTCATATGAACCATGTGAGGCTCTTGCGGAGGTTCTTTATGTCCCAGTTAGAAGTCACTTATGCAAACTGTTGATGTATTTGTTTTATATGTCATTTAGAACTGAATATTGCTTAGAAATAAATGCAGCACATATGTTTTAAAAAATAAAAGAGAAACAAGGAACATAATGGTTTTTTCTGTACCTTGCATTTGCTTCAGGATTGTTTTGGATTATATTGGTAGCCAGGGAATAATCCTGGTAAAAAAAAAATCCCCACAGGTTGTTTTCCATAAATATCCCCAGTGGGCCCTATGTTGTAATGTTGATATACCAGTCGCTTGGGCTCATGTAACACTGAAATAGGTTTGGTATTACAATCATAGACACTGGAAGAGGCATGTCCATAAGAAATCAATTTACTCATGTAAATATATGAATGTAAACTAATGCTCTAGAAACAAGTACTCCCAAAGTGCTTGATAGACTAGTAAAATGCAGCTGTTCTTAATTGTATTTTTATGTTACACTTGTGCAGTAGTCAGATACTTTGCATTATCTCTTTTTTTTCCTTCTTTCATCCTCCCACCAGCTTGCAGATGCTGTAGTTGAGATTGCCAGCAATATAATGCTAGTAAATGACCATGTATTATGGATGGCACAGAAGGAAGATAAAGCTTGTACTAAGATTGTACAGTGCTTGGAGCACATTGCAAATCAAACTCTGACCACCAATACACTAGTCATATCAAAGGTATTGAGATTTGTTTGTGGCTTTGGGGATATTATTCCAGGAGGAAGAAACAAGGACTGCTTTGGAAAAATATAGGTGTTTGATGTTAAGGCACATCTCACACATACAATGTTAAAATCATTAGTTTATCTTCTTCTATTTGGGGGACTTAAGCTTTCTGAAGTTGTTTTTTCCCTTCATTTTTCCCTTTTTAATTTCTAGATGTTATGCTAAACAACAGGATTTCGTCCAATTAGTGTTTAAAATTTTAATGGTGGCAAGATACTTGTGGGAGGCTTTGAAGCAGATGGAAAATCTGTGTCTGGGAACACCTATTAAGACTGTTTTCCTAGATCTTTGTGGCAAAATAGACTACAGGGCAGTTTCTCTAAACAAAACCCCTTCCCTTTTTAAATAATTTCGTTCTGAAGTTCACCGTGTGTATTCTGCCAGAAGGAATGGTTGCAGGTTTCATCCAAAATGTATTTTGTGTCCCTATAATGCTCTGAAAAAGTTCCAAGCAAACTATAGCTGCGTTCTAGGTATTGAAGACATACATGGATTGGAGGAAGAGTTACCTAACAGCTGCCTAGTAGCAATGTGGATGTCTTTACTTGTATGTGTGTAAAATAATGGTCTGTTTTTTTTATTAAAAAGACACAGGACAGTTTTCTTTTTGTTGTTGGGAGAAGGCATGCATACTTTGCTTATCTGGCCTTGGCCTCTCCACTTGTTTAAACTTGTGTAAACTAAACTGCAACTGGTAAATAAGGCCAGGCTTATAGGCTTCCCAGCTTAACTTCACACAACCAAACAACTTCTGTTCATTTTGGAGCCTGGCCAGCAAACAGTTAGTGAGTTGATTCATGGAGACTGTGTCATGTCCTCTTGAAGATGTAAATGATCCCATTTAGCAAATTAAAACATTTTTGACAATTGCTGTCACTATATCTCCTCTATCCTTCCTTTACCCCAGGACACAGTAAGGAATAAAGTTAATCATCACTTTACACCAGAAATTAGAATACATTGATGCAGATGTGCTGGTTCAGAGAGGCCATCCCTGAAGACTGTATATATCCTAGTGAAACTTAATATCCTAGTCACATTTTTCCATGGTAACATGGATCAAACCATTGCATAGCAACAGGGACTGAATTCTTATTTTTCACTGAAGGAAGAAATTCAGCAGTCAAATGTCAGCAGTTCCTGTTCATTCCAAATATGGTTGAATTTCACTGTACTTTTAGGAATAGGTGTTTTGATTATTGTGACAAAATAAGGTAAAAATGACCTTATTAGTGAAAAATAAGTGAGAAACATTTTCTTATGTATGTATAAATAAAAATGGAGCTTCAAGTTATTTTATTTTCCACAAGTTATCTAAAAGCATTGTTGTATATGAATGCTGATATTGATGCATTTGCAATAAAAACTTTACAGAATATGCAAACAGCATGGTGTGGCCTTTATACAACTGAGTGCCTTAAAATATGTAAATGGTATATACGTTCCTCCTATTTGTTTTGATAGGTTTCCCTTAATATTGCTCTGGAGGCTTTTATGATCAAGCCATCTAACTTCATGGGGATGACCTGCATTGCCTTCCAGAAAATATCCACAAAGTCAGACAGGTCACTGAGCCGCGATATGGGGAACAGAGAGACAGACCAAAATTTGAATTTTAAGTGTAATGCTGGCAGTCCCAGTGCCTCTTTGGAGAACTTCTCTTCAATGGTAAGTGGTGTAATTACTGGATACATTAAAGCGTATGCCCATGTGTAATAGTTTCAGTTTTGCACCGAAGGCCATATTTAGTGCAATTGCTGCAAGTATTTAGATTCTATCGAAAATAACGTGTTAGACTTCCTCCATACTTTGCATATTGATTAGCAAAGAAATAATTTTAATTTTCGTATGGGCCTGTGAGTTGAAATTTAAGAGTACAGCGCTAAAATGCTTAAATGTAGTTGAATTCTAAAATGTTGCAACGATTTTTCCCACTGACTGCAGCACAGTCCAGTGTGCAAGTTTATTGATCCAAATTACTCAAATTTACATGACATTTGTTCCTCTGAAATTTCCTGGATTGAAATGGTATAAAACAGGTGTCCACCAGCAAAAGCTGTGCCAGGGATCCTGACCATGGCCAGCAACAAGGTGGATTGAAGCCCAGTTACATGCATCTGATTAAATCCATTTAAATGCCATCTTGATTTATCAGGATTCTATCATGTTTAAAACATTTTTTTCTTGTTGTTCTGACCTCAGTGTAGAGGAGAGTTTGACTACCTATGACTGAAAAATAGAAGTATAAAAAGAGTTTTGAAAAAATGTTGCTGATAGAATAGAAATCCTTCTGTTTGTTTATAACTAGAAATGTTTTCCTTCCATTTTTGGCTTGTTAGATACCCGTTATTTTATTGAGGTCTATAGTGTATTTACAAGAAACACCTTGAAAATGTTGGAAAGGCAAGAGGTATTTTAAACAAGTAAATCTTCTCAGACTTCAACCATATGTTCAGTTGATGTGAGCAATCTCAGTTAAGATATTAGACCCTAACATAATCAAGACATAATAAAAACTGTCAGAGGAACCTCTGTTATTTTGTTTCTAGGAATGATACAAATAATATTAGCAGGATAGATAGATAGATAGATAGATAGATAGAGAGAGAGAGAGAGAGAGAGAGAGAGAGAGAGAGAGAGAGAGAGAGAGAGAGAGAGAGAGAGAGAGAGAGAGAGAGAGAGAGAGAGAGAGAGAGAGAGAGAGAGAGAGATAGAGAGATAGAGAGATAGACAGACAGACAGACAGACAGACAGACATAAAGAATCTACAATACTATCTAATTATGATTGGGTTTGAAATAATCTAAGAAAACATATAGAAGTAGGATCCTTGGTAGAATGTGTTATTTATATCACATAATGTATTACAGCATGGAGATTTTGTTCCTGAAATTTCGTGGGAAAAAGGAGTAGGAAAAAGCCAGAACAGAACAGACTAGAATGGGCACTTGGTTATAAAAAATGATTCCCAAACTATTAAGACAGGATAGACATACGTAACAACAATATTTTAGAAATGATCAGATAGTATTCTTTCATTAACTGTTCATACAGTTACAAACTGTTCACCAGAAACCAATTAGAACAGAACAGAATGGCCTGAACAGCAAGTTCAAAACAGAAGCCAACCAAATTCATTAGTCCCATGTAATTAGAGGGGACTGATGTAGCAAGCCAAAAAACATCCCCAGAAACTACTCAACTATAGCTGTTCAGGAAAATCTATATTCCAGAACATAGCCTAGAACAGCAGCTTCTGAGTCGGACAAGGTAACAAAATTCAAAGGCCACAAATGGCAAGATAGGGTGCATGCCACAAAATATCCAAAGGAAACATACTCCAGTTCCATTCTGCACAGAAAGTCAATATTCTGGAAAACAACTTGGAACAGTAACTTCCAAGTACAGTGGTACCTCGATTTACAGACTTAATCCGTATTGGAATGGCGTTCGTACGTCGAAATGTTCGTAAGTCAAGGCTAAATTTCCCATAGGAATGCATTGAAAACCATTTAACCTGTTCTGGTTGTTTTTCGTTCTTATGTTGAGGTGCTGTTCAGAAGTAGAGGCATTGGTTCCCATAGGAACTAATGCAAAGCTGGTTAATCCGTACTCTACCACTAGGGGGAGATTTTTTCTTTTTTCTTCTTTTGACCTAAGATGAACTTAGGTCAAAAAAAGGGCAGGAAAGTTTTTTTTCCGTTCATGAGTCAAAGTTCCATTTGCAAGTCAAAGTCGTTCGTAACTCAAAATATTCATAAGTAGAGATGTTCATAAGTCGAGGTACCAACCAAATTCATCACAGATACTGGTGTGTGATCCCTGGTTTGCTCTATTTGATTAGTTGGAACTATTTTCTGGAATACTGATTTTCTGCCTAGAATGAGAACTATGGTGAATGTAGTCCCTATGGAGATAGTATTTGCAGCTTGTTGCATCAATCCAGTCTGTAAGTATGGGGGTGGATGGATTTGATTGGTTTGTGCAGATTTCCTTGTGCTAACTGAAATGTTTCTGTCAGTGTTGGTAGCTCTGTGGCTAGATAAGAGAAACTGGGGTATAGTCTAGCACAATATCTTTTTCACTTTTGCTAGGCCTTCAAGCCAGAGACAGACACTTGTGCCAGATGGGCAACTAGAGAATGATGCTTCCCATTTTTAAGTGTTGCTGTGTGTTATAAGTAGAGTAACACTTTATGCTTTTTTTAAGGTACAGGAAATTAACATGTTCCCCAAATCTGCTTGTCTGTCAAGTACTGATGCTTCTGTCCTTTGTTATGACAAAGTATTTTGCTTTAAAAATGAAAAGCAAGTGATTAGGTTGCCATCCCCTGGGAACATGCCAGGCATCTAGGATTTATCTGAAGCTGTGACAGAACATTTTGCTTGGAAACCTTGTATAAAATCTTGGCAGTACATCACTGTGTAAAGAGCTTTAGTGAAGCTTAATCGGTTCTTATATATTTCTTCCATGTTTACTGGAAACGTCCAAGGCAAATTCCTAGTCAAACGTAGATTGTCAAGTCTCATTTTAGTGGTCAAAACATTTCTAAACAGCAGGTACAGCGTTAACACAATTCTCAGGAAAAAAAAAACACTTTATTGGTTCCATAAATTGTAACCAAATGTGAGTTTTGTTCACACTAAGCTGTGACAATGAACCAAAATTCGAATGTCATCTTGCTGTTACAGCAGGTTGTTTTAAAATAAAATGGTTGTGTTTGCATAATTTTATAATTCATAGATATTCCAACTGTTTTCCCTTGAAAATGACAGTACATCCCTGCGTGTGATATCATTTCCCGCATCCTTTTGTCCTATTACAGCACATGTGAAAAAGCAGTTTTGCCAACATACTGAATTAGTAGCATCTCATTATATTCATAACAGAAAGCAAAACTGAAGAAACTCTAAAAGTATAGAAAAGAAATCAGAAATCACAAATAGGTTAAACATGAGTTTTAGTCATATTTAAGGTATGTTTTCTTTCTCAACAGCGATAGTAACGTGCAACTCAGGCTTAACGTTATTAGTTGCCTGTGTGTTAAGCTCTAAATTACTTAATTTTTTAAAAAAGCAGTTTTACATAATAATTCTCCATGGTAGAAGTGAGACAATTCTGACATTTGTTATGTGCTCCTTGGATGACCTTTTCCAGAGAACATGTGCATGCAGCAGAATTATGCCAGAATGCGCTGTCTCACGTTCCCAGGAACTATTTGTGGATTACTTTCCTCTGGGATTTCCTACCCAGAATTATTTGGCAGAAAACAATCTGCTCAAGCGTACTTCTGATATAATTACTGTATTTGACAGCTTCTGGGGAAATTCTGTGATCCCCAAGGTTGAAAAGATACTTTCATTGTCATTCTGTACAGCCCCTTTCCAGAACTTTTGGAATACCACTCACATTATCCACAGCCAATGAGTCCATTTTGCACTACTTACAAAAGATGGTGAAATTTGTAGTGCAGCACATCTGGAAGATACCTGCTCAAGAAAGTCTCCTGTAATTGCCACATAATAACAGTTTATATTAAGCAAAAAGAAAGGGAAAAATATGGTGCTCTATCATCTGTAATCCTTCCCCAGTTAATCAGGTTGTGTTTCCCTTTAGTTCTTAATTGCACTTGCATAGGAATATGATTGTGTTTTCATAATTCTCAAAGGCATAGCATTAATTTTTGGCTTTTTGCCCATAATAAATTCTTGGACATCTTGCTGGAATACATGATGGCTTCTAAATTCCAGGGATTTCTAGATGAGATGGATTATGTAGATCAGGAGAGGGGAATCTCTGGTCTGCAAGCCTAATATAGTGTTTAGACTTCCCAAATCTGACCCACTAAGGATCAGGTGAAAGTCATGTCTCCTCTTCTCCCCTTTTCGGAATTGCAATATTGTCTCCAGTCGAGTATGAGAGAATATATGGGGATTTGGTGCCCCCCACTTACCCTACTTACTGGCATGTTGAGCATGGCAAGAATGATTCTCTACATGTTCTTTGATTTAGATTGGCCTTTGGAGTTTATGCTTCTTTGTTGCTAAAGGGTTTTTAACTGTTTGGTTATGTTCATTTCTTCTATTGCTATTTTTTTAAAATTTACAGTTTTTACAATCTACACAGAGCACTGGATGAGGCTGGTATGTGTAAACCATCTCAGCATCTTTCACTGACATGAACTTCATTACTTGTTTCTGAGGGTCTTCTCAATGCTATTGCCCAATGATGTCCTTTAGGGCTCCATCTTGTTTTCCATGCTTTTCACCATATATAAGAAACCGCAAGGTGATGTCATCCAGCACTGGAGGCATGTTTGTTGGGGACACAAGATGTCTCCTTCTTCTGGGTGCTGTCAGGCTAACTCCCTGGCAAAGAAGGGTATCTTTGTTGTCCTTCTGCTTGTGGACAAATAAATTTTTGTTCAGCCAGGCTTTTAGCATGTCTTAGTTGCTGAACAGTTTTTAAGTGGTTGCATGCTTTGCTTTTTATTTTATTTTAATGGTTTAATTAAGATTTTTTTCATATTTTATTAAGATTAAGGGCCATTTTTGGCAGAAATCCTCATGCTTAGCATAGTAAGTCGCACTATAGTATGCCCATTGAATCAGTAGTGATTTGGTGAGTCATTGATTCAGAAGGCCCTATTCTAGTTGTGACTTTTTATG